GAAAATTGGGAAAATTTTTTTGGTTTTTGTTGTTTGCTTGGAAAGATTTAAAAAAAAAAAAAAAAACCTGCACAACGGAGTAAATCAATAAACAAGGACATTTCTTAAGCATAACTTAGTGTCACTGATCTAATCTCTGCTACACCTTCACAAAAATTTAAGACTCTAAATAAGTTTTAATAAGTAAATCCACTTAATAAAATTCATCACAAATATTGATTTGTTGTCGTGAAATTAAACTGAATCTTTTTCATGTCAACCACATTGCATAACGTGCCGACAGAGCCACATATATAAGAAAAATATAAGAAAACAACAGTGAAGTCCTGTTTACCTTTCTCTTCCTCAAACGTGATGAGAGCCTGCCCTCCTAGTAGGAGCACTGCAGCTCTCTGACTGATGGTAAACACTCCTCTGACTGAATCACTGGTGTCTTCTCCCTCCTCGTTCTCCTCTCTGATAAGAGACAGAAACTTCACCTCCGTCTCTGGAATCTGGGCATAGATCTAGACAAGAAATACAGTTTTACATTTAAATTTGTGTGCTGTTATTGCCCCTGTGAATAATCAAGTATCTATTTAAATCAAAGATCTTTACTCTGAACAACTTTTATTATTTGGATGATTTTTTTTAAAACACCCCAATTCATATACTTTAGTAGAAAAGATTAACAAACAGGAAATTTAAGGTTAAAAATCAGAAAAAAATGACATTCTCACCTTGAATTTGTGCTTCAGTTTTGAAGCCTCGGTTTTCTTAGCCTCCAGCTGAGCTTTGCATCGCCTCAGTTTATCCAGTATATCTTTTTTGTGTTTAGAAAGCTTCTGGATGTCATCCTTTATATATATATAAAAAAAACGTGATTAACTATATATCATAACTATCTCCTTCCCAATAACCTGTAAGTGTAAACAAAGAGTCAGACATACCTTGACTTTTTCCAAGTCTTGAGTGAATTCTTTCTGGCAAGACTCCTGCTTTCCAGCTTGAGCCATCATTTCTGTTTTGGCATTCTCCTTTAATTCATCTCCTTCCAGTTTTTCCAGAACCAACCTGGCTTTCGCGTCATCAGCTTTCTCAACTTTCCTCTTTATATATACATACACAGACAGACAGACACATGCATCAAAGAAAAGAAATACAATACTCTTTCTGATTTGCAGTTTGAGTACACGGGACTAGTGGGACAGATTTTCTTTTCTCTTGTTCTGCTACATTAGCTATACTCTGATTGATAAACATATTTGAAAGAGCTTAAATTCTAGATGTAACTCCAAAAGCTGAGATGCTGCTTCTACAAGTGGGGAAGGTCAACAACTCCTGCAACTGTCTGCATGCCCCTTCTTCTCCAGTCTGCCCAGTCTACACCTGGACTCTCCTGAAAAGTTTAGCTATTGTTTGGTCTAATTTATGGCAAGAGAAAGAGACCCAGCATTGCTATGCAATGTAAAAACATTCGGTTCTGACTGAAGAGGTCAGACTCAGACTAAGACACTTTTATGTTTCTCTAAGCTGCACTTGTACCAAAGAAAGCCATCCTCTCCTCCATCTGGCTGCTGTGCCATAACAGCAGATGAGAATCCGGCGATTGTTTATAGCGCCCCCGTCAGGCCACACACTTCCGTTACAAAAGCGAAACCAAAACCAACAAAGTAGATGTTTTGTCACTGAAATAAAACAGTGATATAGAGCATATTTAGGTATATGTTTCCTTTTTCACCTTCAATTCTTTCAGCTCCTTCTTCGCATCTTCAAGGTCGTCCATCTTTGCAATACTACTCATCTGACGAAAAGAAAAACAAGGAAAAAAAGAATCACTCTTCTCCGTCCGAACCCCTGAAGCTCTAACATAAAAATTATTTACATGAACAATTACTCTTTAATCCATTAGCATAAAGCCTGCCATAACATGGACGACGAAATCGAAACTTAAACCAGTAAGTCGATAAATTACGTCGCAAGCATTAGAAGTTGGTTATTCCTACCTTTATTGGTGGTTCTTTTTAATAAGGACCTTTTGCTAGTTTCTACGGAAGAGTTCGAAAAAGTACTAAAGTTGTTTATGAACTGATAGAAAACCTGACCGGTGTTGTGCAGAGATCCAAGTAGGAACGTTTTCCCCGACACTTCTTGTCTACCGACCGTCAGGCGCTGCTACGCAGCGTTTTATGACCGACGCAGCCTATGGTGCGTTCAAGAATGCCTCGTACAACCAAGAATGCCAAAGTGCTGAGTTAAATAAAAATGATAAAGTGTTACCATTATTCAACGTCTCCAGAGTCTAATTCAGTCCTTTCTTGTCTTTGGACATTTTCAAGGGGTTTTACTGTCCTGAGTTGTTTTTTAAACGATGAAACTTCTTTGTATACAAAGGATGAATACAAAAACACTGGCATCATTAAAAAAATTAAACCCATTTACCACAAAATTACATTTTGTTCTGTGAATCACATTAAATGTTAATTTAGTTATCCTTCAAGTTCCGTGGTAATTCATAAGAGACAGACACAAAAACACAAGATTAAAAAAAAGAAAGTTGCCTTTGTGGTGTAAAAACTATTCTTGGTTTTACTGTATGCTGAGGCAGAGATTAGATTTACATTGCATTTACTTAAATAATGACTTGATTATATGTTGCAGAATCTCAGAAACTGGTTTTAAAGATTTGAAGTTTGGTCAGACTGAATCTGTCATTAAAAATAGTTTTTAACAGTCTTAACACACAATAATGCTATTTGGGAAGTGATGCTTAAGACTTTGTTGATGTGTAATGATTTTTTAAAAATCCTATTTCAGATCATTTTGGAGTTATCTTAACATATATATATATATATATATATATATATACATATATATATATATATATATATATATATATATATATGATATTGACTTCTGAACTCTTACTGAATTAAAACATTAGCATTGATGTTTCTAAATCAATATGAACTGGTTTTCTTTGCATTATTTGAGGTCTGAAAGCACTTCATCTTTTTCGTTATTTTGACCATCTTTATTTTCTGCAACATACAAAATTTTTGCTTGGAATTTTGGAGATAGTAGTTCATAGAATAAAAGAACAATGTTCATTTTACTCAAACATGTGCCTATAAAAAGTAAAATCAGAGAAACTGAATTTTAAGTGGTCTCTTAATTTTTTCCATCCATCCAGACAGACATCCTATTATCACAGATCCTAAAGTTGCTGAATTCTCGAGGATCCCTGCCTGCACTGCCCTGATATGTTGGAACTCCTCCAACCATCAAAACACAAATCCCACAAAACCAAAGTTTATTCCTTTTCCCCAATATGTTCCATGAAAGAACAGTTACAGAAATCATACATTTGTGATTTTCTTTCTGAAAATCAGTTACAACAAACAAGGCACAAGATATTTCAAGTACTCAAAGTCCTTCCACCTTCCCAAAATAAATATATATGTGGTCTTCTTTTAATGAAGATACAATTATATATATATCTTCTAAGTAGTCAATAAATTAACATACTATAAATAATTAACAAATAAAACAGAAAAATAGCTAAGCATCTTGCAAGATTCACAATTTTTAATGAAAGGACTAATCACCTTAGCAAATGATAAATTAGAAATAATTACTGAATGTTTCAACTTAACTCAAAATGTTCTAAATAAAAACCTTGCAAAAAACTGAACTTGAAAATAAACAACTTCAGCCTGAAACCTTCTAATCAGACAAGTGCATTGATAATTTATTAGACCCGCTCACCCCAGGCGCCTAGCACAAACAGACCACATTCCTCTTAGCAGCGTAGAAAAATAGAGCTTTGGTGCCCCATTACAAGACAAAGAATACAAAAATATTAATCAGAAATAAACATACAGATTAAAGTGTGCTCAAATCAACACATAAAGTGATCTCATAATCTCTTTGGTTCAGTAAGGCAAAAGCAGCTTTTCGTTTCAGTGGTCAACTGCTGAAAAACAGCGCTTAATCTGGGACGGCGCACAGACGGCAAACTGCTACGACTGAAGCTCACCTCCATCCAGCAGAGAGACGACTTCAGCACTCATGTTATAGAGATGCTGTCTCTGCCGTTCTGATCTATGACTGACAGATGAGTCACTTCAAATTAAAACGGCACTCTGCAAAAAGAATATAATCCAACAAATGAATGACAAAACCAAAACGGCAGTGAGCGCTACAGAGCTGCATCTGGTGCAGCTGGCAGGACGTTGCTCAGAAAGCCAACTCTGGGATTTTCACTACAAACGTCATGACTGCAGCAACTGATTCAAATTCTAAGTGTTTCACATCCTCTGTTAGCAACAAGAGAATAAAAAACAAAGATAAAACCCTATGATCTGAATTTTTCATAAGGCTTCATATAATTAATATGACGCTACGAACTTAGACCATGAATACCAGTCATGGTATCTATAGCATATGGTTCAAAATGAAGCCCTGTTTTTTAGACTCCTGCTACAGTCTGCTATTCTTCCCCAGCTGGAGCAATAAAAACTATTATCTGAATGTAAACATGGCAGCTAATTTAGAGTTGTGATCACTATGATTAGAAAGATTCTGTCCTTCCTTAAACAGGGATCTGTTATAAATATCTGAGTAAAACCAAATCAGATTTCTCTGTGGGTTAAAAATAAAAAGGTTGTTAAACAGGAATCAGCTGTGTTTTCAAGAGATATATGAGGAAAGATACACATAAGCTGAGGGTACATGAAACTTGAAGTGTGCTGCTGCTGAGCTTGGTTCATCTTCAGTTTCCAGCTCTTCTCCAGAGTAAATCTGGTGCATTTGAGCCTGTCATGTTGTCCAGAGATCAGCTGAGCTGCCCTCCTTTCCAGGCTGAGACGAGTGGTCAGTGTGTGTGTTTCAGAGAGAGGGATGTGTGTGGCAACAGTGCAATCATGGTGCTGCTCAGTGCTCCTTCAACCTGTGAAGATGAGAACATCATGAGGAGGTGTGGTTACGTTTTACAGTCACAAGCAGAAGGCTGAACTTTGTCTTCAGTCGGAGCAAAGGTCTGATGTTTCCTGCGCGCGCGCGCGCGCGCACGCACGCACGCACGCACGCACGCACACACACACACACACACACACACACACACGCACACACACACACACACACACAGCAGTGCGAGCCTAGAGACATGACTTGGACCTTTCAACCACACTCATGTCTCTTATTATCACAGGGACTTGTACATAAATAAATGCACCACATTACTAAAAGTATGTCTTTCTTCACACATGTTGAGTGTCCACCAGGTTTAGGAGCTGGAATTGTTTGTTTTTTTACCATTTTTCCAGAAGCACATTGATTGGGTCAGACACTAATGTTGGATGATAAAGGTCTGACTCACAGTCTCTGGTACAATTAATCTGAACAGGCGTTTTATCAGATTGAGGTCAGGCCTGTCAAGTTCTTCCACACCAAACGTGCTGACCCATGTCTTCATGGACATTACTTTGTGCGCTGGTCAGCAATCATCTTGGATAAGAAAGAGACCAACTCCAAACTTTTCCTACAAAGCTGAAAGCATTAAATCATCGTTGATATTTTTTGATATTTTTTTCTGCCATAATTCAAGAGCGCACGTTGTTTTCAGTCTGAAAGCAGGACTTCATGTCTTTTGTTCTCAATAGACAGACAGACAGACAGACAGACAGACAGACAGGTAGGTAGGTAGGTAGGTAGGTAGGTAGGTAGGTAGGTAGCTAGGTACCTCGGTAGCTAGGTAGCTAGGTAGGTAGGTAGGTAGGTAGGTAGGTAGCTAGGTAGGTAGGTAGGTAGGTAGGTAGGTAGGTAGGTAGGTAGGTAGGTCAGAAAAGGACCTGAGCGGATGAAGACTCACTCTATAGCAGAGACAGGGTGGGACTTGGATGAGGACAGCTCCTTGGCCACCAGCCGTAATAAAAGCTTCAACACAAACAATGAAAACATTTTATAAGCATACAAATTATTTGTAATGGATTAAGGCCTGTAGCTGTGGTCCACTTGGTAGCAACGGAAAATAAAATAAAAAATTATATCAAAATCTGACATGATAGAAATGTGGTTTTCCTTGCATTTGTCTTCAGTGAAGCTGACATAAATGTTTTCTTCATGTCTAACTGTGTTTGCTCTGTTGTTATGAAGTCTATTAAAGGTAGTTGTATTTTTCTCCACTTTATTATAAACACTGTACACTGTCCAGAAAGAAAAATGTGGAACTTAGTTAATGAATAACTTTTACTTTAGCACTAAAGCTAAACATAAGTTTTTATTGCTGAGTAAGAGGGTGAGTTATAAAACGTTGGAAGAAGCTTGGCACATAATTGAACATCTCAAACATGTCAGAGCTCTCTTTTGTCATAGAAATTTAAAACTACTGTCACCTCTGGTCCTGACCTTTAAGTATGTCCTCAAACCATTGAAATATCTCCATACAGTCACTGCTCTGCACTCACCAGCAAAGCGAGGAAGTCAGCAGTCATTAGCATGTAGAAGACCTGATTCCAGCCACCTGCAGACAACACACCTGCCAGCAGGGGGCCCAGAGCTGCACCTATCACCACAAACACAAACAGAATTTTACAATGGGCCTAAAATTGACTAAACCTTTACATTTCAAGATGTGAGCACATTTTGGGATTTGACTACTTCAAATATACAATGTCGTGCTGAACATTAACTGTTTGCACAGCAGCCAAGCGAAGCATGAGAAGCTGCACTTCCTGTAAGGTAGCTGACGTTTACATCCGCTGTTCTGGTTCCTACCTTCCTGATGCCAGCTTTGGTCAACAAGCAGCACAGCATGTTTCTATTTGCACTCTGTGCAGGTGGAGCTCTAACAGCAGTAGCCTATCAGACGGCCCCACAGGCTGATCACTCTTCTGTGTTAGGGAGGTAAACATCTCATCATAGACTTCACTGCGACTGTTTTTTTTAACTGATAAAATTAAAAGATAGACTATGACTGAACAGGTTCCCGCTATCTGAGCTTAGTGGTTGTATGCAGAATAGATACTTTACTGTCCTACCAAGAACATTTTGCTAGCTGAGTGACCACAACACTGGCCATTGAGTTGGACTTAAAAACAAACAAGAATAAAAATGAATAGAGATTTGCATATCAGAAAGCTAGAAATATGTGCAGAGGCATTTCTTGCCCTTTTCCTTTTTTTGGAACAAGCAGGTTCTGATTGGGATACACAAGGTGTTACCATGTCAACCATCAGGTTACTAGGTCACTGTTGAACCTGTGGAGGTTCACAGGTTGTGAACTCACTGTTCACTCACTACTGAGAACAATCTGTGGGGATTTCCTGTCTTTAGCAGAGGATGCATCCTGGGAAGTGGTGTTTACATCAAAGAAATCATTAATCAGATAAAATGGGTGGGAAGACGAATTTATAATTTCTGTTTTTGTCATTATGCTGACAGGAAATAATTTGTTCTGCTGCAAAAATTTGACTCCTATTTTTATTAATGATAGAACAACAGAAGGCATGTGGTTAAACAGCAGCCCCATCAGTTACCAAATGTTGATCTGGGGCCTCATTTATAAAGCACCATACGCACAAAAAGTGTGCAGCGTCATATTTTATGCACAAGTCGGCATGTATACAGATGAACATTGCGTAAAAGTTTGTGTAAATATACGCAAACTTGTTTTTTTTTTTGTGTGGCAGCCACACAAACTTTTTATGTGGACAATAACAAACTACAAAGAGTCAAAACTCACCTAAATACACTGAAATCTGACTACATTCAGTTATTTATACCACGAAACATCAAACCAGATGTTTGTTCGTGATTTTAATATTTTATTGTTTAAACGTAAACAATGAAACTGAACCGCATTTATCCTCAGACAATAACCTAACATGTAAATAAAGACAATAAAATTAAAATGATGTGAAAACTTCACTCGAATGTAAATAGTACTTTTCCTCAGTTTTTGTCTCATAAAGATGTAACACATCGATCTGTGTGCTGAAGCGCATGAAATGCATCTATGGGGTAATTTCATTCTCAATAAAAAGTAAAACAGGGTTGGATCAGCAGATTAACTCCAAACAGGTTTGATTATTTTTAAGATGATCAAGGTGTGTAGAAAATCACAGGTATTTAAGTAGCTGCACAAAGGTGAGCTGCGTAATTGTAGAGCACTTTGGCTGTGATGGAGAACATCACCAATGGAAGGAGCGATTGATCAGAGATCATATTGATCTCCTGGGAAATGTTATTGCTGGTTTGTTGCCCAGACTGATCATCCTGGAGCTCTGAGCAAAACTTAAAGAAGGAGCCGTGCGGTACCGGTACCGGTCCAGCTGCAGTCATCCTTCAGTCGCCTTTATGGACAAAAAGCGTCTTCATTCTGTTAATGTGCAACTTCTGCACATGATTTCTCTATTCATAATAAACGTCCACATTCGCCACTCAAAGACTCTCTGACTGTCTATAAATCCCGGCTGAACGCTCTGCTGTTCAGGCATTTGCACAATCTCTTTATTTTTTTATTTTTTTATTTTTTTAGATTGTATTATCTTTATTTTTGTGAGATGACCTTATGTGCCCTGAAATCAGCTTTTAAATAAAATATATTATTATTATTATCATTATAAATACTTATACTGCTACAAACAAGGACGTTGCCATGGTTATTGCTTCACCTGGTGGCTGACTTCTGGGTATTTATACTAATTTAAATATCTATTTGTGGGTGGCGACTCAATTTCCTGCAAATGGGGATGTATAAAGGAAAGGTGTGTGGCCACAAGTGTGCACATGGCTTTATGCATTTGAAGTTTTTTGTGCGCCGCACTTTTCTAAATTTGTCCATGTGTCAAGTTTTAGTGTGAAAACTGCTCACTCTTCTATACACGAGGCCCCAGATGTTTCTGGGGCCTCGTGTATAGAGGCTGACAGGAGTCAGCTGTTACTCCTAGCTGACTCCTGTCAGCTAGGAGTAACAGGAGAACAATTACATTAAACCTCTTGATCAGTGATGTATTGCTAACTTGGGGGAAAGAATAAATAGTACTGACCTACAGATCCTGTCCCATCAATGATGGCTGTGACTGTGGACAAAGCCCTGGCATTGCCTTTCAGGCTTTTGTGTGTTCCCTGTTATCGAAAATACAAAAAGAGGGAATCACAGAGGAGAGGTGTACATGCAAAAGAAAAACGATTTTAAAACATAAAACAGATTTTAGCGTGAAAATACCTACCAGATCTGCTGACACAGCAGTTGTTATGAGAGCATATGGTCCATTCACCAGACCTCCACATACGAGCAGCATTCCTGGGAAACACCAAATCAGTCAAACATCTATTCCTAAAGACTAGCTCAACGTCCACAGGAAGCATTTCCCATGAAACCATTTGCTCTGCATGCTGTCAATCAATCAATCAATCAAGTTTATTTGTGTAGCACGTTTCAGCAACACGGCATATCAAAGTGCTTTACATCATAAAAACACAAAAATACAAAGTCATAAAACAGTCTTCACTGTTTCCTGTACTTTCTACTCATTTACTGCATGACCTCTCCAGCTTTTCTTCCATCTGTTTACATAAACACTTGTACAATAAATACAACAAACATCTCTAAATGTTTTCCATGTTATTCCATCCATCTTGTAGACCTACTAGTCCTGTCCAGTCATCAATCTTCCCATCTATTCCAATGAGAACGTTTAAGCTTTTCATTCAAAATCTATTTGATCATATTGGTGCAATAAGGCTGTTGGA